GAAAGAACCTTTACGCCAAGAGGCCCAAAACCCGAGGCAGTCTCGATTCAATCATCCGATTGGGAGAGACAAACCGGGAAATGCAAGCTCTCCGCCCCATTTTGACATCATGGCGCAGTTAGCCAATATCCCGGCTAGGATAACCCTATACGAGCTGTTGCGTCTTTCCAAGGATACAAGGAAAGCATTACAAGAGGCCTTGAGCGACTCTGAAGCTTTCTTAACTCGAATCAAGCCATCTCCTGAAGGACCAGAGCCGTCAGCTCAACACTGCAATCTCGTGGCGCATCATTTTCCATGCATCTCTTTTACCAAAGAAGACATGCAGACAAAGAACTCAAAGCATGATCGGCCTTTGTATTTTACCGGGTACATTGGCTCCAGCATGGTCAACCGGATCCAAGTTGATCCGGGTTCTGCTGTTAGCATCATGCCATTCCGACTGATGCATCATCTCGGAATCCCGACTAGCAAACTAGCCTCCACCGGCACTACGATTTACAGATTCAACACCAGTGGGTCCAGACCCTTGGGGAAGATTCGAATCAAATGCCAGATCGGGGATTTAAAATCAGAAGTTACCTGCTGACTGCGTTACCAACAATGTTGTATCTTGTTAATTTATATGCAAAATGTGTAGCTAAATGGAAGGTTGCAGTCTGGTTCACTTTTTAAAATACTTGTAAAGATATATACAGATGAAATAAGCAAGCATTTATTTGACAAAATGTTAAATCATTTGTTGTTGGCCTTCTTTTTTATGCTGGCAGCATATCTATGAGGATCATGAAATTCCAATGAATCCATGGAACTACCTAAGTATTATTGAGGGTAATTGTTAATATTATACAGATATACATGTTAGCATTCACCATCATTCTTTCCTGTTACAGTTCTCTATGAACAACTGGCCTATGAAGATTCACAAATCACAACACAATCTTTCTATTGAATACTAAAACATCCTCCTCCCATACCGAAAAGCAACTGCAAACATCAACACAGCCACTGCAACACCGACGACGGAACGCCAGTTATGCACTGGCGTCGCCCTCTGGCAAGCCCTGAGAGCAAAGTCGATACCTTGGCCCTCAACTACATCCTTGCCCTTCACAGTCGCCTTGAGCTTAACAACCCTTGCTATCGCCTCGTACTCCTCTTTGGCGCCTCCCTCCAAAAAAGCCCCTACCACCCTCCCTTTGTTCACCCAATATGCTCCAAACTTCCCCTTGGTGAAATCTCCATAATGTACAACATCCCCGATATTGTCCCCGTAAAACTGCCACGCGAGAGTAAACACTCTCGAGTAAAAGAATGGCACGTAATCGAGGTCGCTGGTGTTTCTGGGGCCCATGATGGCGGCGACGGCGTGCCTTGCAGTCTTTCGAGCAGAGTCTACATGCTCAAGGCGACGGGTGTCACCGTTAAAGAGCTTGACAGGGAATGCAGCTACGTCTCCCACAGCGTAAACTGAGCTGTTGCTTGTTTGCATCAGATTGTTTACTTTGATTCCACCCTTCTCAATGGTTAGCTGGTCCTCGAAGAGGCTCGTGTTTGCACGGCTCCCGATGCCCACGACGACCATGTCAGTTGGTAGTCGGGTTCCATCTTTGAGAATCACTGCTGTAACCTGAAGAAGAGACAGATGATTTAGCAATCAAAAGCATAATTTGCAAGTACTACCTATCATATGAAAAATCTCAGTTCAAATCTCAAGAAACAAACTCCAAATAACTTCTGAAAAAACAAGAAAACTGAAAAAATAGCAATCCAATTTTTTTTTATTTAATCTCATATTTCCACGCACAAGTCTGAAATGTTTGAAAATAATATGGATGAGACGCCTGAGCATCTAAAATCATTACCTTTCCTTCAGAATCATTTTCAAACGATGTAACAACAGTTCCTTTTATAAACTTCACTCCCTTCGACTCATAATAGCCCTCATAAAAACTGGCAATTTTTTGTGTGAATAAACGAACCACTGCAGAGACGAATGAAATTTATCAACCGTCTTACATTGTCCAAACAATATAACATGATATAAGTTTAAAATGTGAATATACTTACTACAATGTGCGCCAGGGAACACCATGGTTACTTTTATTCGGTTTGTAACAAGCGCAGCTGTACATTCCATGCCAATGTAGCCCCCGCCGATTACGACAGCATTGCCACCGACACAAGATTTCATTACATCTACAAGTCTATCTGCATCATTCAAATTGCGTAAATAGCAAACCTTTTCCGCGTTTGATCCTCTCACCCCAAATTCTTCAAGCTTCAAAGCCTGCAGATGCAACGAGTGCAAGTCAATTACATTGAAACTTTAAGACTGATGGTCTCTTTAAAGATTTCATCTCAGGATTTGAATTTAGTACCCGAGCACCTGTCGCGATTATGAGAGTCCTGTAGCTAATAGTTTCACCATTTTCTGTTGTTAACGTCTTCTGCTTCACATTGGCAGATTTCACTGTAGTTTCAAGAATCAGCTCAATGCCTAGGAAAAAAAAGGTCATCAATCAGCAACAACAGTTTTCAGAATAAGGGGGTGTTTGTTTGCATGCAAGTGAAAGATGAAAGTGAGAAAGTTTGCGCCCAATTAACCCACATTTAAAATAAAATAAAAAACTCTAACAGGAGTCTATTTGCAACAATGAAACTATAGGGACAGTAAGCGCAAAACAACGATACTACAGGGATCTACGTGGAATCCCAAACATTAAACGAGCTTTACCATGTTCCTTGTACCATTCGGGAGTCAGCCTCTGCTCACCGGCACCTACACAAGTATGAAAATAGGGGAGGCGTGCAGGAGCTGCAAACAACAACGACATAAATTTAAATCATGAAGCTTCATAAGCAAGAAAAAACCTTGTAATTCAGTTAAAGTTGATCCTGAAAGTTTATAATAAGTCCTAACACTGAAAGGGCGTAAATTGATGCTAAGAGACTGCGATATCTTACCACCCCAGCCAAATACAAGGAGCTCTAACTGAGAACTAGTGTAGCTTGACTAGAAAGCTTGAGCAAATTGTCGATCAGAGTTCTCAAAATATATTCCAAACTATTAATAAATGTCTGTCCGGTAGAATATGAATATGGGTACGGATATATATATGACTGAAATATCAGGATCCTTATTCGAATATCCAAACATATGTACTGGTTATACACTTGTAATTGTTTTGACAATTCGATTACTAAATTAGAGGTTAATTTTGATGATCCAGAATCAAAACCTTAGTTTTTCAGATATGCCGAACATTTTAGTTAACTCTCATTTGAGAAATTTACTGCATTTAAATATTTGTTTGTATCACATGACCTATATTCAATTTTATATTCCTTATGTCCATTTTGTATTTGTATATATGTCAGATATGGATATGAGTTTTTATGTCAGAATTTGTATCTCTTGCATATTAGTGAGCGAATACATACATGAAAAGTATCATATCTGATCCGTATCTGTTCCGGTTGCACTCTTTCACGGCGCACATGCATGGCCAACTACAACTTAAGATTATCATGAGAAGGCATACGCATATACGTGTATGTACTAAACATACAATGCTCTCCGAAAAATGTACTAAATATGTAATGAACTTATGAAAACTAATACCTTCTGGAAGTAAATACCCTTTGCTTAATGCAGGTCGTTCATAAGGCGCTACCTGCACAAAATCATCACAACATTTGACAGACAACAAATATCAACTAATCATCATCATGTACATGCCCCCATAACCCAACGTATCCAAATTACTATAAATATAGGGGGTGATTAGAGACAGACTGATTCTTCAGAGATGATGCAGAGCTCGCCATGGGAGATTCCTCTCCTTGAGAACTCGAGAGCAGCGTAGCCAGCAGCAACCCCTCCTCCGAGTATCACATACACGAAGGCCCTGGCCATTTTCTGTTTCTCTCTGTTCTCTCTCTCGCTCTCAAGCTTCTGGTTTAGTTTGTTCCGCTGTTCCTTTTTGTTAGGCCTAAACTTGGGCCTGTTACATGTGGACCTTTTCCTTGGTCCATGGATGAGGGTGGGGTTTGATGTTGGGCTTCTTTTAAGGTTTGAGAAAGGCACAAGATTCCAATTCTTAGCTTGAGATATGTAAATCCCATGCTTTGATACTTCTCCAAATTCTTGCTTCAAAACATCTCAAGTAGGACCATTCAATGTTGAATTCCACATTTTATTTTTATTTTTATTTTCCCCGGAATAATGTATATTTCACTCGTTAATTTTGTGAAATAAGGGGGAAATAACTCCAGACTAGGGGAAAAATAACTATGAAAATTGTCTTCTCTCGAAAAGGAAAAAAGTTAGCCCCTAGTGTGCATATAGTTCACAAAGAAAAGTCATCTATTAATAGACTCCACGCATTAAGTGCTTTACAATGTTTACATTGACTTCAAAACTTTCTTTTAGCTTTAGGATAGTATAAAACTTTTTTCTTTCTATACTTATTGGTATGTTATATCCTGTTGAAGGGGGGCAAAAAGACTATTTCCTCCCTAGATAGCTAGATATTTTGCCGTATGCAAATGCACACGAGTGAAAAAAAAACTCTTGATCTTCCGATTTTAATTTTAAGGGCGTCTAAATATCAGATAACCTCCCATAACTCTCAAAATATTAGAAAACTCAATTTTACTTTAAGGGTTTATTAGAAAAACCCCTTTGAGTTTAAGATTTTATCAAAAAAAAACTCTTCATAGGCTAAATGTTAGAAAACCGTAATTTTTGCACGAGTGAGTAAAATTAGGCAAGAGATTTTTTGCCAATGAAAACTGATGCTAACACTATCAGGGTCTTCTAATGAAATCTCATGGTTTTCTGATATTCTGAAAGTTACGAGAAGTATCTGATAGTAGGTCCAAAGTTAAGTGAGATTTTCTAACATTTAGCCTTTAATGGTCTATTGAAATGTTTTTCATTCCATGAATAAAAGAGTACATTTAGAGAGAGATGGTCAGTTGACAATATTTTTATTAAAATTTAAATTACCATTTTGCCCTTTAAGTTTTGATTTTTACCATCTAAATTGCAAAAGTAAAAAAAACAGAATTTTCCCTCGTTCCTTCAAACTACTCTATCCCCACTTTGTTTTTTATAAGGCCAATCTGTTTTTAATCTTCGGATTAAGTGGTATTATATTCTTCAGACTATAATATTGAGATTATGTTATCCCGTGACCATTTTAGTCCAATCCAATGTTTGATTTTACACAGACTAACATCTGGATTAACTTAAAATGGTCCATCCTAGTGTTTGTTTTTAGGGGATGGTAACTCTTTGGATCAATATCATAAACAGAATGGCATTCGTGCCCTCAAGTCAACTAATATTGTATTGATAGTATTTATTTAGAAGAAAAAACAAAATTTGGGCATGAAATTGTCTAAAAAGTAGACACACCACCATATGTCTATCATGAACTCATGATACAATAAACTACCTTATCCATTTGATCACATTTGATCACATTGTATCATGAATTCATGATACAATAAACTACCATATTGTCTAAACATATGGGACTAGTAGTCCCGTATGGACTAGTCCCGTATGTTTTCATTATTTTTTTCAAAAGAGGTATATTTTGCTAATTATTTAGCAAAACGGTCTATTTTACTAAATAATTAACAAAAACGGACTATTTTGCAAATTTTCCCAAAAAACAAACGTGAGCTTCGACAATGGGTTCGGCCTATTTTTAAAAAAAATAGCAACCGCTCACTATCAAAAAACGAACACGGCCCAAGTAATATAGACCGTAAAACCTGTGGAAAACTAAGCCCCAAGGTGCTTTTCCTTCGATTTAGGCTTTTCCTACTGACAACAACCCGAACCAGAACGCACCGTCTCTATCCGTAGGTTCCCCAAGACAAGTACAAATCTCTAGCAACGAGATTTGCCTCTTACGGGCTGATAGGATGAGGTGACGTTTTTATTCTCAGCTTGGAAATTTTCTCTCCGCCAATGGCATTATTTGCCCGCGGACGTGACAAAGAGACCCGTGCTCAAGATAAAATTAGCATCTTTGGGGCGAGATATTACTGTCCTCAGGTAGCCACATCAACGATTTGGGCCTCACGAAATTGATTCATTCGCGACTCCAAATTGTAGTGGAGATGTTTTCTTTCCCCTACGAGGCCGGACTTGCCGGGGTGACTAGGTTTGGGCCTTAGGGTGTCCCCGTCGTGATGGGAATAAAAAAGGGAGGTTTGTTAATGAAAGTGATGTTGATTCATCGCATCGTGCCTTTGTTGCTAGGTTAGGACTTCGATACGACCTTTATTAAATTTGATCGTCTACGGTTCTGATCTAATTGTGTATTGGTTTTTGGCGTTCCTATGTTTTGTACTTTTCCTAGTGACCAGCGAAAATCTTTGAGACTGGTCGTTTGGCAAAGGCTTAAGTGAGAGGTTAATGAGACTTAACTTTTTTTTAACCCGCCAAACACTAAAAAATCTATATAAATGTTAAAATGAGCTAACCTTCTATAATTTACCAAACATAAAATATAAAGAAATGTTAAGCTAACCCCCTCTAGAGGGATTAAAATGAGTTAACCCCTCAAAATGAGGGCTTTACTAATACTCCTATTTAGATGGATTAAGAGCTAACCCCTCTAATTATAAAGAAAATAGTCAAAATACTTCTCAAACACTAAAAATGATCATAATGGATAAAATAAAACTTATATAACGGGTTAATAATTTAGTCCTTCGGATTATCGAATGGATTAAGTATATTAATCATTCTTCTTAATCCCTCTTCATTAACCCTTTGCCAAACAGGACCTAAAAGAATACTACCATTAAATTAAAACGTGAGTATAAAAAATTATAATTTTATATTCTAAAATATTATAATATATTCCTCCAGAGTTTTGACTCTTTTTATGCACCGAGAATTGATGTCCTTGTTCTTGCATACAAACTCTATTATAATGTTGCATTCTTATAGGGACAAGTACAAATCATTAGCATTTAGATTTGCCTCCCATGGCAAATGGGAGGAGGTCCACGGAAGAGTCCTAAGCTTAAATTAAAAAAGAGAAAAAGAAAAAAAAAAGCATGATTGATATTGTTGCCCTCAAGGAGCTACACCACTGT